GAAACTGTCTTCGGACAAACACTGGCTCTACGGGAGGTATGGAATATAGCTATTAATGACAAATTAACATGCAATATTAAAGTAAAGAAAGCAGTGCTTAAAAGGCATACTTTTGCAGAAATTTGGAGAGATTTTATTGATTATGTATTAATAAAGGGGAAGGGAAAAGCAGCATGGCAAGAAAAGTTACAATTTTGGAAGGAGAATGGGAATCCTTGAAAGAAAGGAAAACGTCTAGTTCTCCATTGGTTCCGGTGTGGGGGAGGAGCACTTAGTTTCAATTTTGTTTGGGTATTGTTATTGTGTTTTATTTGTTTGTTGTTCTGTTCATTGTTCTTTTGTTTCTTTATCATATGTTTTCAATTCATGAAATAAAGATTCCCTCCCCCAAAAAAAAAAATTTAAAGGTCCTTTAACCTCATCCTGTTCATCAGCTAGGTGAGTGACTAGGTCCCACCTGTCGGATTGGCGCACTGACACCTGTGGAATTACCAACACTGCCTGCTCTTAGCCTTTGTCAGAACTTAGAGGGTGACTCCTTATATCCCTGTCAGTTTTCATCAACCTTTGACAGTTTAGGGGCCGTGACAACTGTGGTCTGCATGACCTGCAGCAGGCTGAAATTTTTGCAAAGGGGATTTTCGTCCCCAGGGAGAGCTTCAGCAGCTGTTGGTAGGTTTGGATACCTAGCAGGTGCTTCCTGTGCTAACTTGGTAGCCTGTCAAATAACCATTTGAAGCTCCACTTCAGTAAGCAGGATGGGCGTTAGGATCTTCACATCCGACCACGTGGGGCGGTGGGTCTGGAAGAGGACAGTGACTTATTGGATCACTTCCCAGGGATTCTCCAAAAACTTTCCAGCCTTCTCTTTAAAACTCAAGAGATCCAAAGGACTCCAGGGCTGGTCACAGTCAGAGTCTGTGCCGGTGCTCCCCCCCCCTTCTCCTGCTTGTCTACTAATAAGGGTCTGAGTTACCAGCGGGAAAGCTGGGGCTGTTGCTGGCAGTGGGGGAGCGTTGGCTCCCAGGCAGCAAAAGGGTTATTCGGACTTTGAGGAACTGTTGGATATAAAGGTGCTGATCCTTTTTTCTGGTCCCGGTGCCATTCGCATCCCATTGTTCGAAACCCAGGGGCCCATGTGGTGGCCAGATCTCTCTATAGTATTCCACCATGGTTTTCCTTTTTCTACCTTGCTCCTAAATTTCAGAACACACTCTAGCGGAGTCGAAGGCCCTCCGCTCCCGGGATCCCTACTCTGAGACTGGCCATCGCCCATCGGAAGGGAATGTCTTCTCTTGGGGCACTGATTAAAACCAGCCACTGACCAGAATGGGCCAACTCCAGGCAGCCCTGAACTCACTCACTGAAACTCACACACTGAGAGACTGGGTTAGACCAGAGGGGTGCTGAAGTGCCGGGCTTTCCGTAAGTGTCCATCATAGGCAACGAGCCTCAGAACGGAACTGGTGCATCTCCAACGGTGGCCAAAGGCAAATTCCCCTGGAAGTTTCCAAGAACCACACATTATCGGCCACAGACTGAAAAGAGATGTGCAGCTCTCCAGATTTGCAGGTTTTTCCAGAAGCCAAGGATGGTTCCCAAGGGTCACCCAGCTGGCAGAGCCATTTCCGTTCAGGAGAGTCCCATCCCCAATCTGCTCAGCCCGGTTCCACAGAAGTTGAGGTGGGGACCAAACGACGTCAAAGGCGTCAATGCCGGCGGTCGGTCGACTCGACCTCCAGGAGACTGTGAGGCCCTCAAAATTGAATGGCCCAACCAGAACCTGTTACTCCCAGAGCTCGGTGTCTCAGCTAATTCTATAAAGCTGAGCCCCAAGCAATAGTAATAAGTGGACAGTTTCTTGGAGGAAAGGGCAACAGGTTTATTCAGATAAGACAGGGTGGGGGATCCCCAAGATCAACAGGGTTCAAGTTTTTAACACACTAAAAAAAGAAGAACCAGTTTTGCAACCATCAATTCGTCCCTGAGGAATAGATGCTCCTTGGTGAGAATTTCTCACATTCCAGCCAAGCAGGTGTAAGGTGTGTGCATGTTTGACCTGGATCAGGTGAAGAACTAGAGACTTAGGACACAAAGAGGGAGACCAATAGAACCAGGGGAACTATGGGATTTTGTATTTCTAGCTAGAAGCCCTCATTGTGAGAAATTCAACTCTTGAACTGAATGTTTTGAACTATGCTTTCAGTAAGTTGACAAAAAACATCTGCTAATTGAGAGAGTGGAGCAAACTCAGGAGTTAAGAAGACCCTGGTATGAGGATCCTCCTGAGCAAGCAGATGCCACACCTGTCCACTAAGTGACGGAATACACATTAAGCATTCCGTGCTTCACAATAAGTGATAAGGACCATATATCTAGGGGGAAACAAAGAAACATGTAATGTGCATGCTCAGCTAGCAAACTGCCTAAAAGGAATATAAAAAGAGGGGTATGGGCAACCATAATTTGTCTGATGAGACCAAAAGGCTTTTGAAACTAACTACTTTCTTTGGAACTTGGACAATGCAAATAAAGAATTCTTTTCTCTTTGGTGAGTATTTATGCAGTGTGAATGTGCTGAATGCATGAAACCCCCTTTATTTAGAATTGTAATCAATAGCCAATAAGGTATATTTGTTTTGCATTTATTAATGTGCCTTGTGAGGTTCTTGGCTGTTTAATACTGTATTGTTCTTTTTGGGATACAAAAGATCCAGTGGTCACCCTTTTGTGACACAGATGCCCATGCGCGGAGCTGCTTACCACTAGGAAACGTTGGGTTTTGCTTCCTTGAAAGACACTGGATTCTCTGTAGCCAGTTCTCCCTCCTTACATAACAGTACGCAGGACCGCTGTTCTTAACTCAGGTTGGACTCTGGTCCTGAATGACTCCTTGTGACTACAAACCCCATCCTGGGGCTGAAGGTGAATGGGGGTGGCAACCCACACCCACACCCTGCCCCGCTAGCCAGGCCCCTTTCTCGGCCCTGGAGGGTGTAGCGTCCAAATGAGGCTGGCTCCCTGAAGGTTGGGGCCCCCAGAGGGCTCTGTGGCCACAGCCGGACTGGTCCTGGCAAGGCAGGGCGCTGGGGGACCAGCCCTCCCAGGCTTCAAGGGAAGAAGATGCCACCATGAAGCCCCCTCTTGGGACGTTCTGCTGGCAGTGGGCCAGGCAGCTCAGCCTCCCCAGTGCCAACATGGAGGGTGGCAGGGGTTAGGGTGCCCCTCCATGGCTGGCAGTCGAGTCCAGAGAGGAGGAAGATGAGGAGGCCAGAGGGCGCTGGTCTCCCTGCTGTCTTCCCGGCCCTGAACTATAAGGGTTGTATTCTGCACCTCCATGAGGTCTCGCTGCTTTCAGCCGGGCTCATGCCCATCCCTGCAGGTCCACCTTGGTCTCCCTTCCCTATCCGACCCAGACGCGAAGCAAAGCAAGCCAATAGATTTGTGCTACACTATTACTGTATTTCTCACATGCTGTAAATGCAAGGCCTCGCATATTAGTGCCACCAACTGAGATCCAGAGGTTGCACGAGTCATAAGGAGTCCCACCACCCTGCCTACCATGCAACCCCCCCCCCAAATGCCAACCAACCTTGAGGGTCTTCCTTCAGAGGGCCTCTGGTCCCTTTGTGGGTCTCACAGCCACCGATTTGTTGTGGCAACCCCATGGACCCAGGAGGGACCTTTCCTAAGAGCCTTCTTCTTCCTCCAGCCCTTGTGCCACTTACCTTAAGATGCCCACCTTTTCCCCACCACATATCAATGCCTCAGTTACCCGCATGGACACCCAGCCCCACAGTGAGGCAGAGACGCTCCCCGGGCCTCCTTCAGGGGTTTCGTCTCCCTCTGGCTTCTCCACTGAGCAGCAACAGCCAACATTTCATCCCGTGAAGTCAATGCTTTTATCAGCCAAAACTGGCCAGCCTGTAGGATGCTAGGAGGCCGACCGTTGACTCAGCTCCTGCAGATAAACGCTGCAAGTCGACCCAGGTGTGGTGGGGGGGAAGAGCCCGGGGATCTATGGGAACATCATGGGCCCTTGGAAAGTACTCTGCCCGTCCTGGTCCTGGGGCTGCCCCCAAGGGACCCTGCTGTGGCCGCCAAGCAGGTGCACGCCAGAAAAGATGGCAACTTGGGGGAGAACGGGAGCCAAGCCAGTAGAAAAAGGACGGCTCGGGAGAGGGTTGGCCTTGAGCTTGTAGGGGGGAGACTGGAACAGGGCTGGTTTCCTACTCTGTAAGGTTGCCACAGGCCAGGAGATGGATCTCCTTAGGCTCTCCCCTCGGCCAGGACCAAAACTGGGTGACCCTGGATCGGAGAGGGGCTGCCTGGTATGCTTCTGTCCCCATCCCATCCCCCTGAAAAACACAAAGAGCGCTCTTTCTCTTTCTCTTTCTGTTTCTCTTTCTCTCTCTCTCTCTCTCTCTCTCTCACACACACACACACACACACACACACACACACACACACACACACACACGCGCCCTTCCCAGGCTGCG